CACACTCACACTCACACTCACACTCACACTCACACTCACACTCACACTCACACTCACACTCACACTCACACTCACACTCACACTCACACTCACACTCACACTCACACTCACACTCACACTCACACTCACACTCACACTCACACTCACACTCACACACACACAACGCACACACCACGCACACACCACGCACACACCACGCACACACCACGCACACACCACGCACACACCACGCACACACCACGCACACACCACGCACACACACACAGGTACACCAGCAAACCAACGCGCACACTTGCATATGCAAACTCATATGCATACCGTGCTCTCGGCCGCCCGCCTGGAGAAGCCTGAGGAACAGCAGGAGGAGGAGGAGGAGGAAGAGGAGGAAGAGCGGCGATCGTGGGCGCGCGCCGCAATAAGCGCCCGCGCAGATTCGCCGAGCAGCAGGACTTCGATGGCAGCGAAGAGGATTGGGCAGAGGCCTACAAGGATCGGGAAACTCTGGGCCATGAACCTGGGGCCTTGTATCCTTCTCTACCTCCTCCTTCTTTTGTATCCTCTTGGGGAGGGAAGGAGGAGGCAGGATGAGGTTGGCGGGCGGGTGGGCGGGCGGGCTGGCGGAGGAGGAGGAGGAGATACAGAAGGAGTTGTCAGCTGGGATGGAGCTGGGAGGAAGAGGGGAAATAGGGAGGCGGGGGCCTCGTCAGTAAGCGAAAGAAGTGGCGTGGTTCATCGGTGAAGTGACTGAGGAGCTTGGCAGTCCAGTTCCTTCGCTGGCGGAGGCTAGGAGCAGCAGCGCGGGCCGCAGCCGCCAGCCTGCGCGCGTGCTGCGCAGTGCTGGCCAGTCTCGGACTCGTGGTCGTGCTGGGGCCAGGGCGCAGAGGCGGGCTCTCCTGCCCGCTGCCTCTCCCGCATGCTCTCCTCCCCGCCGTGCTCCGTCGCCGCTGTTCCTTCCCTTGTGCACTCGCTCCCTCGTTCCCTCCGGCCCTCCCCTGCCTCCCTCCTCTTTCTGTTCCCCCCATCAGCCCCTTCCTCTACGTGTCCCCTCTCTCTTTGTCTTCGCCCCTCCCCTCGCTCTCCTGGAGATATCGGGGGCCCCACGCATCCATCCAGGTTCAGTGCAATTGCTCCTCCAAGTCCAGAAGCAGTGGGGCATTATCATGCCCGGCACCCCTTTTCGCTCTGCATGAGGGTGCCCATGGGTTCCGTCGCTTGTGGGAGGCGAGTTTCATGCCTTGTGAGGCCCAGTCTGGCGCAGATTAGACGCACAGTGTATCCCTGTTCTGCTTTCGAAATAGAAGCACCGACGAAGTCTCCGAGGTCCGGGCCTGTGTGAGCTCATCTTGCAGGTGTCGCTCCTGAAGCGTGAAGCAGGATTTGGCAGCACGGTTGTCTGTTGCCATAGGTTGCTGGGAACACAGCAAACACATCAGTTCGTTCCCCACAGTCCATATTAGCATCGGTACCACGGTACCGCGATTTCGCTCCTTCGGGAGAGCCGACGCCGTCGTAACCATAGACATTGCGCCCCCCCCTCCTCCCCCCTGCTCTCTCCCATCCCCCTCTCACTCCCGCTGCGCCCCTTCCTCCCCTTTCCCGTGCACCCCTTGGAGGGACTGGGGGCGCGGGCGTCTTTCGTGGCCAGGGCTGATGCGCGCAACCTCCTGAGATGGGATGCGGTCGACTTGCGGCTCTGGGCCGGCTCGAGCATGGCCCGCGGCACTCTTGTGCTGCTGCTGGGCCCTGGGGCGTCAGAGCAGGCGGACGCTTCTGGTGGCGAGGCCGTCGGGGCCCGGGGGCGGACGGGGGGGGCCCGTGCGGAATGCGCCGGCACTCTGGGGGAGTGCCAGCCCGTCGGTATCGCCTTCTCCGGCTCGGATGTCGGCGGAGGAAGAGGTACCCATGCCTCTACCCCCCTCCCTCGTCTTCCCCGCTTGGGGCCTCCTGGGAGGCCCCCGGCGCCACCGCTGGATTCGCCCCGAACTCCTGAACGCACCCCGGGAGAGGCCCGGGGAGTAGCGGCATCCTCTCTGGGCCAACTGATGGACAAAACCGAGCCCCCCCCCCGCTCCTCCCAGACAGATCGAAACAGACCCCCCCCGCGGGACTCCCTCGGGCATCAAACTCAGACCCGACCCCCTGTCTCCAAGACAGGTTGAGCCAGACCCCCCCCCCCAATCAGACCCCCCCCCTTTTATTACAAAAGTTGGGGTACCTTTTGGCTTCCCAGGAGGGGTTCACCACCCACCAAACCACCCCAACCCAACCCGAAGGCTTCAATTTGCCCTCCATTTCCAGTGGGGTGGGGTCGGGAAACATTGAAAAAACACAGATGGAACCCTTACCCCCCCAACCCGAAATTCGGGTCTTCGGGTCGGGTTGGGGTGGTTTGGTAGGTAGTCAGGGGTGAGGCCGCCCACGCAACAGCGAGCAGCCGATGCATGAATGGCACCGTCCGCACTCGTAGGGCCTGGGCAGTCGGGGCAGACCCTCCCAGCCGGTCTTCCTCCGCCTCGGGGTGGGGGGCCGGCGTGGTCGCTGGGCGGCCTGTGATCTCTGCTCGTCTCGTCCTGTCCTCGCCTTTCCTCTCGCCCTCTTCCTCCTTCTCCCCCCTTCCTCGTCGTTGGGCATCCTGTCCTCTCCTTTCCTCTCGCCCTCCTCCTCCTTCTCCCCTCCTGCCCCTTTCTCCCTGCCGCTGCCGCCCGCCGCTTTCACGATATCGATATGCGCTGTTTTTGGGTTTGCCACTGCGTGCGAACTGCGCACGCGCGAGCCGCGCCGTCTCGTCCTTTCTCACCCCTCCTCCTCCTCCTCCTCCTCCTCCTCCTCCTTCTTCCCCCCTTTTTCTGCCCCTCCTTTGATTATTGTCGGGTGTAGGATTACGTGGTCATTCACGGAGCTTGGACCCCCTTAGATATTATGTTGCACAATGTTTCTAGCAGTTTCTTTTGGAACCAGGTTGCGCGCAATGGCTCGCCTATTGCAGGCTGGCCTGGGCGCTGTTCCTGGTGCTTTGGGTTTCTCCTCCGCCTCCTCCTCCTGCTGCTCTTCCTCCTCCTACTCCTCCTCATCCTCCTCCTCCTCGACCGCTCGCCCAGGCAGTAATTGTCACAGGTAGCTCCTTTTGTTTGCATCTGTCTGTCCAGGGGGGCAGGATTTGTTCGCCTCATTTGGCGCCCATAGTAAGCGGTAATGTAATCGTGGCAGGCGCGATCTCGTTTCTGCCCGAATCCTTGGCCGGAGTTTCGGCCACGTTTGCAGGACAGCCTTACGACGAGCACGAGTCGCGTATATCATCGCTGTCCGCTCCCCTCTCCTGCTCCGCCCCCCCAAAAAAGCGCGCGCAACTCTGGAGGTCCGAGCCAGCTCTCCGTGAACGGCGCCAAGAATCGCCCCCCCCCCCCCCCCCCTCCCTCAACGCTTCCCAGAAATGTCCGACCCACAGCCCTGCAACTTCCCGGTGCGCGCGATGCGTTGTCGTTTGTGCCTTCCCTCGGGAAGGAGCTCTGCACCGAGAAAGGCCGAGACCCAGCCAACGGCGTGGACCTGTCGCTCTTCACACAGCTCGTGGACGACGAGTCAGAGGACCGGGCACGACGACGGTGACGAGCGAGGAATGAAGGATAATGCAAGAAGGAGGGAGGAGTAGGAAGGAGACAGGAGGAGGGAGGAAGAGGGAGGAGCAGGGACGAGGAGGAGGAGGGGAAGGAGGAGGAGGAGGAGCAGGGAGGAGGAGCAGGGAGGAGGAGGAGGAGGAGGAGGAGGAGGACGAGGAGGAGGAGGACGAGGAGGAGGAGGAGGAGCAATTGGAGGAGGAGTGGGAGGAGGAGGAGGAGGAGCAGCAGGAGGAGGAGGAGGAGAAGGAGGAGGAGGAGCAGGAGGAGGGGGAAAAGGAGGACGACGAGGCGGAGGAGAAGGAGGAGGCAAGACGAAGTAGTCATTACCCTTCCCTCGCTATCTTTTGCTGCGCCGACTTCACCCTCCAACTGAGGGTTGGCGGCGCCATCTGATCAACACGGACATTGCGCTTCGCGGCTGTTTTATAGTGCTCAGTGTAAAAGTCCGCTCGCTCACGCGCTCTCCCTTCGATCGGGTGCACACACACACATTTACACTTGAACATCCGCTTGACGGATATCGTAGCCATGGCGTCAAGTACATCTTCTCCGACACCAAATCTGGAACCGTTGATTGAAATTTGCCAACCATAATCTCCATAGCAAGAGCCCATTTATCAACAGGATCATCATAATGTCCGAATCCATGATGAATTGGCAACATGCGGGTTACCAGCGGGGGAGTTCACCACGAGATCACGAAGCTGTGCTTCTCGTATCGAAGGTGGATGCACCAAGAAGTCAAGAGCAATGCCACGGTTCAAAAAGAATCCAACATATCGTCTTCGAGCCCGAGTCCCCCAACAGAGTGAGGGGCTCCGACTGGCGTTTTGTTCGAAGAATCTCAGCAAGAGCATCTCGCTAGCGTCGGGAGATACGCCGACTAAAAAAGGCTCCAGCAGCCGTGACGCTCCACGCGCGGACGCATACAAGACGGAGGCAGACGCCGAGTGGTATGGACCAAGCAGTTTAGACGAGCAACCAGTGCCGCACGGCGTTCGTCAAGCCTACGTCATATCCTCCGACTCATCGGATGAAGAAATCGATGACCACGTAACCGTCTCGCCGGAAGAAGCGGGATGGGTCATGTCGACCCCCGCCT